CAACACCACAGCCAGAGCGAGGAGCCTCTGGCAACCAAAGTCACGCTTGCTGCAGCTCCCGTTTCACTTCAAGAACAAAGTCAAAGTCCTTACAGTGGCCTAACAGCCGTACAAGAACGGCCTCTCCTTCTTACTCCCTCATCCAGTGAAAGGCAGTGTCCTTCTGGCTGATCCCTCTGCCCAGAACACTCTCTGTCCCCTTCTGATCCTGCTAGTTCACTTCCTCAAATGATACCTCTCAATGAGGCCTGCCCTGCTTACTGCAACTTCCCACCACCCCCAGCATCCCCTCCAAACCCGTCTCTGCCTAACGCACCACGTCATTTACTCATTTGTCTGGCTCCCCCCACCAGAGCACGAGCTCCATCAGGACACAGACCTTTGCTTGGCCACTGACATGTCTAAACTCCTCCAACTGTGCCTAGCACACAGTAGGCGCTCTTTCTTCAGGTGTACCAGGGTCCAATGTAGCTGTGTGGTTCTCCAGAGGCAGGTGAAGTCCTGGGATTTCCTGATCCCTGGACTGTGGCTAAGGCAGAGCATTCTGGAACTCAGTAGAGTTCCTGATTCTCCACCTTCCTGATTATGGCAGAGGCTGTGCTCAGCCTGGGCTGAACCCAGGCTGGTGGGAGGTTCCATGGGAACTTTCCCTTTAAGCTGGCCCCACCCCTTTGAGGGCCCACCCAAACCTGACTATAAAGCCCAAACCCAGCTATAGAAGCCCCAGCCACAGGCCACTTGGGGGCTGATGCCATCTTGGACTCAGCCGTCTGTAAGCAGGTATTAAAATAAACCTTCTTTTCCTTCATCTCGGCCTTGCGCATTCCCCTGCTGGGTTTCTAACATCCAGGTGGATCAGTTCTATGATGTTCTGATTCCTGGAGGCTCAACCTATGGCTCACCCCTCCAGCATTCCAATGAGTTTATGAACACTTATCTTCCTGTATTAAATCTTTAAACCATTAAATGGAATGGTTTCTATTTTTCCACTGAACCCTCGAAAACATGGAAGATAGTCACCAGGCCAATGATGAATCAAGACTGCATTGTTTTCTGATTAAGTCTTAAGTGTAGATGAGCCAAATATTTTAATAGAAAAGTCCAACTTCTGACTCAGTTTTGGGGGAGATGGACCAGCAACGGTGCCAGTGGAAGGGAACAGAGGAAATGCTTTGCAAGAGCCGAGGTAGAAGCTGGCTACATAGAGGGGCTCCCAGAGCCGGCATTCTATCTCCATCTTTTCAGACGACACCCCTGAGACCCAGTCCCACTCTGGCCCCCACACTCCATCAGAACTTTGGCAGGGACCTGTGCAGCCAAACCACAGTCCAGGAGAGGCTGTTAACACATCTGTCACTAGTCACAGCCGTCTTAGGAGGGGACATGCCTCAACTGTGGCAGTATCCTGTGCTAGGATCGGGGGTTGGAGCATAGCATGAACAGGCTGTGGGTGCCACTCTTTCCACTATGCACTTTGCCTACGAAATAAGCCTCAGTTGGACCACGTGGGTAGGTCTGAGGATTAAGACACTATCTTTAATTCTTTTAGCTGGCTCCGAAGCATCTGAAACACAAGATGCTCATTAACATGGAACAACTGGAGCTGGGCTCAGTGGCTCATGCCTATGACCCCAGCACTTTGGGAGGCCTGCGCAGGAGGATCCCTTGAGACCAGGAGTTCGAGACCAGTCTAGGCTACATTTAAAAAAAAAAAAAAAAAAAGGAAGAACTGTAGATATTTTTGAGTGAGACAGCACGTATGACAAAACCACATAATTTATATCATTGTAAATAATACACAAAATTTTGGAGGCTGAAAGAATACACATTCAAATGTTAAAACTGGCTTATTTAGTAGAATAAAAGGCAACCGAATATTTAAAAAAAATTCTACTCACATATGCTTTATGATTGTACTACAATACAGTATTTTTGGAACATGGTGGCAGCAATTACGGGTCATGTACCCTCCTAACAAAACCTCATCTCACAGGCCACGGTGTGTCCAGTGCCAGGGGACCCACTGGTCTACGCAGCCCCCTTTGCCAGGGCCTGGTCCAAGGGTGGGGATGCTGCCCAGCTCTCAAAAGAGACACAGGGGCAAGTCTGCCGGGGCTTCTGCAGCATCTTCCTACCTGGTCAGCGCAGAACAAGGAGAAAGCTCCTTTGCTGCTGTCTACTTTGCTTCCTGCTTTGGCTGCAGACACTGTTGCTTGACGAGTGACGCCCAGAGCAGTGGTAGCCACTCTGAAATTCTGAAGATGGTGGAACAAACAGACCTAAGAAAATCCTGATGACATTTTGGCTGCCACTCAACTCTGGAACTATCCATCTCCAGACTTCTTGCTACATGAAATAAATATCCTCATCGCTTACGCCACTGTCAGCCTAATTTTCTGTTATCTGTGCTGGTCACATCCTGTTATAGGCAATTATCTGTGTGGCACTGAGTTAACTGCTTCATGTTCACTCTAATTTAAAAGCAACTCTATAAAAAAGCTACTATTGTCTCATTCTTTCAAAAATTTTTTTATTTTTAATTATTATGGGTACATAATTGTTGTATATATTTATAGGGTATGTGTGATGTTTTGATACAGGCAAACAATGTGTAATAATCAAAACAGGGTAAGTGGGGTATCCATCACCTCAGGTATTTTTCACTTGTGTTGGAAAAATTCCAATGCAATTCTTTTTAGTTATTTTAAAATATACAGTAACTTACTGTTGACTATAGTCACCCTGTTTTGCTATCAAATATTAGATCTTGTTCATTCTATCAACCTATATTTTTGCCCCCATTAACCATTCTTACAGAAAATAAAATAAATAAAACTGAGCTTAGGAAGGATAAGTCATTTTTTTTCCCACCCAAAATTACTGATGGAGTTGGATTCAAACCCAAACCTCACACTAAAGCCCACACTGTCATTTAATCATGTAGTTAAAAAAATGAATAAGCCTATCATTCTCTCTTTCTACATCTAACAAAGTATATATATATACACAGATGCACGTAGGTATAAATTTGCATCCATTTGCTCTAACGTATGAATTTGGCTTTGGGTTTTTCTCTACTGTTATTTGCGTGTATTTGTTGGTAGAAATGTATGCTTCGGAGGCTCAGTCAAGAAAGCAGACATGCCTCGTCCTTTGCCACACTTTTATTGACAAGACCTAATTTGTGCATCAGGGATCTGAAGACAGACCATGAGGACTTTCAAGCAGTCCTACGGTTCAAGCCCCAAGATACCCGAATGGGTGAAGCGAACATGAAAGCGGTACATGCTCTTCCTCAAACCTTCATGGAAGAGTCAAAGAACTAAAGACTGCAAAACACCCAACATCAACGACACAGGGCCATTGAGTTCATCCAAAAAAAGCAGAAGATTATTTCTGAACCAAAGAAACAGAACAGAGAGAGAGGATTACAATGGAGACCCACTGGCAGTGCGTCAGCTATTTAAGAGAAGAAAGCACCGAAGCCCAGAGCTAATCACACGCAGCTCAGCATCGGACCAAACAGGGCTTCCACCGCACGTTTCCAAGGAACCCTTTCTGCTCCAGTCCTCTACAGTTCGAAGAGGCCAGAACAACACTATGCAACAGAGCTGATGCGAGCTTTCAGCTTTAGAAGGGGCAATGTGGTCACCAAATAGTCAATAGCCGCTCGTGGCTGCTGGCTGGGCAGTTTGAGGGGCTCTGTAGGAAAAGCCCCAAGTGATGAATGAGCAGGCTGAGGAACTAAAAGGTGAGACTGAAAACGTATCGGAAACTCCTGGGGCCACTGGAATCAGGAAAGGGCAGTTCTCACCAAGCCCCTGTGGTTCATCCCTGTCCCAGAGGCAATGTGCTACGATGCCAGCTAAGGGCAGCTGTGCCACCAGCACCTGACAGCCACAGAATGCTGCCGCGTGAGGCCTTCCTCTAACTGCAAATATCTCCCCAGCCCTGCTGTCAAGGGGAGAGAAAGAGAAGCTGTTCCTCCAGGGACTACACACACTGCAATGACCTGGTGAAGGGAACAAGATCACAGACCCACAAACTCAGCAGCGAGTGAGGCCGGCTGGGACTAGGATCCACGCTGAGCAGGTGGCCCCGGCGGAGCTAGGACAGGAGACAGAGGCAGGCCTCTCAAACTCAAACCTTTTGAAATGGGAAGTCACCTGCGAAATGTCAAAGAGGCCATTATTCAATAAATCCCTACTTCTATCTTACCAAGATCTTATATATATATTTTTGGGGGCGGGAGGGGCAACATTTGATTTAGTGTGGTGAAACGTCACCGTGAGTACTTGCAAGTTTCTTTTGAGAAAAACTTAAATATTTGGCTGGGTGCAGTGGCTCACGCCTATAATCCTAGCACTCTGGGAGGCTGAGAAGGGAGGATCGCTTGAGGTCATGGGTTTGAGACCAAGCTGAGCAAGAGCGAGGCCCCGTCTCTAGTAAAAATAGAAAAAATTAGCTGGGCATGGTGGTGTGCACCTGTAGTCCCAGTTACTCAGGAGGCTGAACAGGAGGATCGCTTGAGTCCAGGAGTTTGAGGTTGCTCTGAGCTAGGCTAACGCCATGGTACTCTAGCCCAGGCAACAGAGCAAGACTCTGTCTAAAAAAAAAAAAAAAAAATTTAAATATTTAAATGGAAGCTAGAATACTGGCTACTAACGGCAGGGGTTGGGGTGTGGGGAAACACGTCCTGGGCCCACCATGTCATGCAAAGGCATTTGTAGGAGGGTGCTAGGAGGAGTCTCTGACTTTTTCCTTTCTACAAAAACCTACAGCTAGTAACACAGGAAGTACTCAGCTAAGAGTAACCAGGAGATCTTTCTGCTGTTCCTCACTAAAAAAAATAAAAATAAGAGTAACAAGAAGAAAAAGGTATAGAATATCTTGAACTGGTGCACTCGGAGCACCAGGCCCGGGCTGGGACGGGGTAAGCAGAAGGAGGAAAATGAGCAGCTCTAGCCACTTTCATCTTGCGGGAAAATAGAGTCAGGCAAAGGAAAGGGAAACTCACATTTATTGAGCGCCTACTGGGTCTGGCCTTGTGCGACGAGTTTTCCCCTATGATACCCCATTAGACCTCACGCCAACCCCATGAGGTAGGTATTATCTCCATTTTTGTCGGCTGAGGGACATGAGGCTCAGAAAGGTTAGGTAGTTTGTCCAAGGTCACGAGACTAGGACCTGCTGAGCTGGGCCCATGCACTTATGTCTGAGACTCCATCCCTGTTCTCTCCTCCACCGCCTCCCAGGAGGAAGGAGGGTGCACAAGCAAAAGCCGCAGCCCCCACACTTCCTGCCCCCGTGGCCCAACTTCCACCAAGAGAAGGAACCTGTATCTTTCTATAGACCCTCTCCCTCCTCCTCCCCATCAGGAGGATGCAGTCAGTCAAAGAGATTGAGACATAAATACTAAAATAAATAGCAGGCGCAAGTCCCCAGCAGCAAGGATATGCAGTATCCACGCTGTGCGAAGGTCACTGTGCCATTCGCAGCTACTGTGGGGGAAAGCCTTGTGGGCCCCGGGGGAACTGGGACAACGGCTGCCGAAGGCTGGAGTGGGTGGGCTCAACAGGCCCCCTCCGGGTTACTCAGATTAGAGAACGAAACATCTGCAGCAGGCAGCAGCCGTGGGCACGGGCGCCATCCTCCTCCATCTGCTCATTTTACCGGTGTCTGTGATCCAAGAGGGACTCAAAATCAGGGGAACATACGAGTTTGTGCTTCACGTGTCCCAGGACTGTCATATCCCCGGTCCTACTGTCTCCAAGGCCCACGGACACCAGCTCCTGCCAATGGACAGAGACAGTGATGAGAGCCACAACCACATGCCCCAGCGCTCAGTCCTGTGAATCTGAATGGGACACTCCCACGAACCCCCCACCCTACTTAGCACAGGCTCAACTTCTCAACCCCTTCGAGGGCCTCGCCCTGACCCTGCAGAGCGCTTACCTGTAGGAAAGAGCAGGCTGTTCCCATGGTCACATCCAGAGTCACCTTGCCCAGGAGGAGCTGCACCTTTCCTGACTTGCGGATGAGCAGCTTGCCAACCTGCCCCTCTGTCAGGTCAGCCAGGGTACAAGCGTTCTCTGCCAGCCTGGCTTCCTATGGAGAAATAAAGGGGGTGGAAGTTGGGCAAAGAGCTCTTCCCTCCGTCTTTCATGAACGAACCCCATCCCACCTCCCAGACAGAGACATTGGCAGCAAAGGTGAGAATGAACTCCTCAAAGAGGGCCTTTTCCCAGGGCTCTCTGTCATTGGTTAAAAAACAAAACCCACAGCAAACAGATGGACAAAATATCAGTAACTGCTGAAGCTGAGTGATGGTACCTGGGAGTGTATGTTCTCTCATACATATAATTGTGGAGATTTTTCATGATAAAAAGGAAACATACACGTACACACACAATTGGGGTCAGAAGTACAAAGCTCCACGGCCCTTGCAGGTACCATATTCTCCCAGCCCGGCTGGGTGGCAGACCTTCGCTACACAGGTCACTATTTCCCCCACTGGTCCCCACCCTGGCATGATCACAGGACTCGCCCCTGGGCATACCCGGTCTTTCTCCTGCTTAATGACCACCATCTGCCCATCCTCGCCCTGCACCTCCGTCTTGATAGGCTTCACGTCCTGGGTGGGCGGCTGGCCGGGGAGGGTATCTGGCAGCTGGAGGAACAGCAGCTCTTCCTCCTTGGTGACGCTCAGCTCCCTGAGCAGCTCCGCCACAGACACGTCCTTCAGCAGGCCTGGGGTCTTCCTGGCTGCTCTAGGAGGAGCCTTCATCTTGGCCTCCTCCTCCTCATCTCGTGGCTCCTCTTTCACTGCTCGGGTGAGACAACGGAAGGGCTATCACGTGGCTGCCCTCTCCACCGCCTCACTGTTCCCAGCCCTTCGCCCCCATCTGCTCCCCTGTCACTCGGCCGGGGAGCTGGAAGGAGACATGGGTTATGGAGAGAGGCAAGAGACAGCACATGCGTAAGATGTATGACTTATCTAAAAAGGGACATCTGGGGCTGTCCCACTGCTCCATGTCAACAAGTGAACCCTCTGAGAGGGAGGATTTAGTGTCTTTGTTCAGCTCATGTGCTTGATAGCCGGAACGTGAGCGGACCTGCTCAGGAGCAGCGGTCTCGGAGGCTCATGCGAGGGATTCCAGAGGCTGGGGGGTGGCAGCCACGGAAACAGAGATGAGAACTTAACTGACACGGGTACCTTTCACAACAGGTCCGTCCACCTCCATGTCCTCTTCCTTGGGGCCGGCCAGCCAAGGTTTAACGTCTGGTTCTTCACTCTCTTCCTTAAAAAGCCACCCTGAGTGAGCCAGTGGCAGCTGCACAGGCATGTTTCGAGTGTCATTCCTCAGCCCAGGGTCATCAATGAACTGCCAAAGAAGAGTCAGGGGGCGGGGGGGGTCACATGGCCAGCACACCCACCCGGATTGCAGTCCACTTTAGTCTGCTTCTAACCAAAGACCCCTGCTGCTCGCCAGGACTCCAGGACATCACCAGCGAGCGACTCTGCTCCTTCCCCCCGCGCCCGGTACCCACGTCATCCTTCTCCAGCATGCGCAGGATCTGCTTCGTCTCTTCATCTGTCTCCCTCTTCTCTTTCTTGATGTTGATGATATGAGAGGGCCCCATGTCTGACACATCCACTGTCTTATCCCAGTTCCCTGTGGGAAATCACCCGGGTCACTAGGGATACATAAGGAAGAGGGAGCAGAGGAATTCCACTGCTCTTGCCCTTCGCTCGGGCAGTCTGAGCTGAAAGCCACCAGTGACTCCTTCGTACCTTTTTTCTTCATCATTTCAGCCGGGCCCTGCTCAAAGATGGAGTGGGACTGGATCACTTCTGGGCGGCCGCGGCCCCGCCCATGCCCCTCTCGCTGTCGGTCTCTGTCCCTTTCACGCTTCTCCTTTTTCATGGTTACTTCTTCCTTAGGCCTGGAAGAGAGAATAGATTAAGGGAAACCACTCACTTCCCGTGCCTCAAAAAACTGGCCTTACTGTCCCATACCACTTCATGCCAAGTGAGTGGAGTGTTTATGAGCCAATAACTACACCATGAGAAGCCGAATCCAATTCTAAGTGTGACGCTTTTCTCACTTCCTTGATGAGGCAGCACCCTTTCAGCTTGCTTTACTTCACCTTCTTGTCCGAAAATGTAGGGTTTTTTTGTTTGTTTGTTTGTTTCTTTGCATTGACTAAAAGCAGGAAGGCTGTAATGCAAAGTAACTTAAGGTACAGCATGATACATCTTTGTTTAAAATAGTGGTTCTCAACTCTGGCTGTAAGAGACAATCACTCAAACCTACCGCAAACAAGTTAAATCACAATTTCTAGAGATGGAGCCCTAGGGATCAGTATTTTTTTAAAGCTTGCACATTAGAATCACCTCGGAGCCAGGGTTGAAAATCATTAGTGAAAAGAACTAAAGACACAAATTTAAATTTCTGAGCCACACACCTAGTCACTTCCCCAAAGCCCCAAATTCAGGGTGAGTATTCAGAAGGCCTAGCTACTTACTCTTCCTTGATCTTCCGACTGATGATATTTGGGGTGAAGGTTTTCTGAAAGTAAAATACAGCAGTCACTGATTTGTTAAGTTCTGACCCCAAAGTACAAAGGAAAACAAAAACTCCTAAAGAGCATCTTCTACGGACCAAGACCACCATCACTCTCTTCTGCACAGTGCACACTGCTATCAGAGTTTTATAGTGACAGACGTGTGCCTGAAGAGGAGGAACATCATGCCATGTGGCGGTGGAGTTTCACATAGAAGAAAGGGGCACCAAAAACCACTTTATTATAACCAGCAGCCTCAGCTTCTGCCCTCTGAAAGGAGAGCCTCTGGGATTTCTAAAAGCAAAGGAAATTTATCTAATCTCACCTCCAGTCTTCGAACTGCTATAGAGACCAGTACCACAGGGGGCCAGCTCTAGCAGCAAGGCTTAAGTAGGGAAGTCAGGAACCTGCCAGCACTCATAATTATATGATACATTTAGATTGTCACCAAAATTTTCCAAGGCAAAGTCTTTAAAAACTGGCTGCTTTATGCTTCTGTCAGCCTGTCCCCCCATCCCTTTCCAGGCTGCTCTTTACCACAGTCATACCCATAATGGAAGAGTCCACAGAATCTATTATGCCATGCCTAGGATTCAGTTCATTCTAGATAATAAGTATGCACACTGGGATGGTGGAGAATTCTGAACCCTCTAAAACTGCAAGCAAAGTTTATGTCTGCCTGGCAAGTAAACATGCCAAAGTTGCTTTTGAATGTCTTCTACTAATTAGTATTTCTATCCTTCGACCACCTCTGAGAATCGTCTCAACATCTTGTACTCGGTACTTAGACTTGAAAAAGGCGGGACAGGCTCCCTAGAACTTGAAGAGAGGTAGGCAGAAGTTTGGGGACAAGATTCATAAGGCCCAACACCACGCCTGGCATACAGTAGGTTCGACACGAATATTAGCTGAATCCCAGGGGCCTGGAATTCAAGGTGGTTGGGTACCTTCTTAACTCCCCCGAGGGTGAGGTCCCTGGATCGGATGGAGGGAAGGCGGCCTGGAGTGAGGGGGAGCGCCGGCCGCCGCCCGATAAGTCCCCGCGCCCCAGACAAGAGGGGTCGGGACCCTCCCGGAGCGCTGGGCTCGCCCGCGGCGTTTCCTTCCGACATGATGCCTGTGAGACAAGGTGCAACGAAATCACCAGAGGGGACCGACACGCGGACCCTGAGCGGAACCCCACCCACTTGGCCTCCCGCCCCCGTCAGGGCGTCCCTCCGGTGGCATCTCAGCTCCTCCCCCTCCCACGTGGCGAGACTGCCCGGACCATCCCGGCTGGCGCCTTTGGCTCGCGAACTGCCCTCTCCCAAAGCCCTGCGGCCACGCACGAGGCAGGGACGCACCCGGGCTGCAGCTCCACACCGCGCGTCACGACTTCACCTCCAACGCGACCCGCCGCCAGCCCTCGGTCTCCGAGCCGGGCGGAAGTCTGCGTGGCAGGGCCTGGGCACCGCCATCTTGCCGCTGGGCGGAAGTGACGTTCGGGAGGCGGGACTGGGCCACAGTATTTATTAGGCGGCGCCTCACTCCCCTCCGCCTTCTCTTCCCGGTTCTTCCCGGAGTCGGGAAAAGCTGGGTTGAGAGGGCGAAAAAGGATGAGGGGAGCGGTCTGGGGTACGCTACGCTACGGCGCGGCGCTCGGGGGTCTTGGCCCCGGGCGTGGGGGTGGGGGCGCCGACCTCAGGGTCAGGGTCCTTGGTGGTTACCACGCTGCAACGTGAGGACTCGCCGTGGCGGAGCCCCTGGGAGCACTGGGGTCGCGGCTCGGGATGGGGCGAGGGGCAGAGAGCGAGACCCGGACTCAAGAGTCGGGGAGCCCTGGGCCAGGCCGAGCCCCAGCCGCAGGCTGTCCGTGGTGACCTTGGAGTGGTCACTGTACCTCCGGGCAGTGGTTTCGCCCTCGCGCGGGGCCGCCTTCTCTAGACTCCTGGCGGGGTCCTGCGGTGGGGCAGCCGCGGGACAGCTGCCGCGGACCAGCCTGTGCCTAACGGCAACCGTCCCGGACTCACGATGGCGTGGCCCCCTGTGAGCGCTTTTGGTCAATGCCTGGAAGGAATCGGAAAACGAAGTTTGCTCTACTGTTGGAGGAACTAATTTGAAGAACTTTTGTTGACTCCGACGTTTGCAATTTAATATAAGAAGTGTCCTTTAATGTTATCTCCCCACTCCCTCCAAACAATATAAACATCATGTAACAACATTACGGAGACTTTGAGGAAAGAAAACCATTTCTGCCGGAATTCCACGTAGAGCTCTACTATTAAAATTTTTGTAATATATTCAGTCCCCTTCACACAGCTGGCATATTGTACCACAGATTTGTATCCTCCTTTTTCAAATAACTTTTTTCTTCTTTTTGGAAACTGGGTCTCTGTTGCCCAGGATGGAGTGCAGCGGTGTGATCATAGCTCAACTGCAACAACCTCTAGCACTCCTGGGCTCAAGCGATCCTCCTCTCTCAGCCTCCAGAGTAGCAGCTGGGACTACAGGTGTACGCCACCTGGCCAGGCCTCAAATAACACTTTTTCATTGTTTCATCAATGACTGTAATTCTCTGGTGGCTATGTCATGATTTACGTATTTCCCTGTTTGGACGCTTAGATTGTTTCTTTTCCCTGTTGTAAATAACGCTGTAGTGAACATCTAGCGTTCTCACCGTTTTTTTCCTTTTGGATTATATCCCTAGGACAGATTTCCAGAGCTGGGATAATTGGCCAAAAGAAGATGTAAAATTTTTTTAAAGTAAACTTTTTATTTTGAGATCGTTGTAGATACATATGCTATTGTAAGAAATAACGCACAGAGATCCCAAGGACTGTTTACTCAGTGTCCCCCAATAATAACATCTTGCAGAACTATCCTACATTATCACAACCAGAATATTGACATTGGTACAGTCAGGATAAAAGACATTTCCATCTCCACAAGGATCCCTTTTATATACACACCTCCCTCCACCCACCTCCTCCCACCACTAATCTGTTCTCCAGTTCTATAATTTTGTTATTTCAAAAGTGTTATATAAATGGAATCATACAGTATGTGACTTCTTGAGATAGCTTTTTTCACTCAGCAGAAATCCCCAGAGATTATCTAAGTTGTTGCGTATATCAATAGTTCATTTCTTTTTATTGCTAAGTATCCTTGGTTTGTTTAACCATTCACCCTTTGAAGGACATCTGGGTTGTTTCCTCTTTTGGGTTATTGTGAATAAAGCTGGTATGAAAATACATGTACAAATGTTTGTGTAAACATAAATTTTTATTTCTCTAGGATAATTGCCCATGCATACAATTGTTGGGTCTTATGGTAGCTGTGTCTTAGTTTTATAAGAAACTGCCAAGTCGTTTTCCACAGTGACTATACCATTTTGAACATGCACATTTTGTGGTTCATCATTCATGTTGCTAAATTGCTTTCAGGAAGGGTTGTGCTAAAATGCATCACCGCTAAGAATATAGACATGAATGAGAACATACATAGAGTATATAAGAATATATGTAATATCAATATTTTGCCACATCCTTTTGAGTTTTGGCTCTTAAAATTTAAAACCTTTTTGCCAATGTAATAATATATTAATATTATATTAATAGTTTGCTATGTTGGTTTTTAACCAGACCTTTTTCAACTTCTTTCCTCCATATTGGTGTTAACAATAATCAAACCAAACCAAACCAATACCCTTCCTGTCCCCTACACTGAGCTACACACAGCAGCCTTTAGCTTCTGACCAGAGAACAGGATGAAATTACTTTGATTTCATTCTCTTGGGCTTTGAGGTTCACCAGCCTTTTAGCACCTTCTTTTTTTGTTTGTTTTGTTTTGTTTTTTTACAAAGATACTTATTCACTGCAGAAAATTTGGGAAAATATTATTTATCTATTTATTTATTTTTAGAAACAGGGTCTTGCTGTGTGGCCCAGGCTGGAGTGCAGTGGTGCCATCATGGCTCACTAGAGCCTCAAACTCCTGGGCTCAAGTGATCCTCCTGCCTCAGCCTCCTGAGTAGCTGGAACTACAAGTATATGTCACCATGCCTGGAGAATTTTTCTATTTTTTTTTTGTAGAGATGGGGGTCTTGTTCTTCTTCAGGCTTGTCTCGAACTCCTGACCTCAAGTGATCTTCCTTGCCTCAGCCTCCCAGAGTGCTAGGATTATAGGTGTGAACCACTGCACCCGGCCCCATCATTTATTTAACCGATTTCCTTTTGGTAATGTTTATTGAATTTCCACAGCATTGTTCACCCCCAAAAGGAGAAGAGGAGAGAACACTTAAATAGGGCCTTCTGTTTTTGACATTTTGGTGGTTACTTCCTGACAATGATTATCATACTTTCCCTTCAAGAATATTCTCCAGCCTTCCCTCTAATTAAGCTAATATACGTTCAGCACCATTCTGCTTTCTTTCTTTACTTGCTCCCCCACTTTCTCTCCTTCATTTTCTCCCAAAGAGTGTTCAGTCTTTCATCTAGCCTCAAAGGAAACTTGTAAATTATTAGTAGCCAAAACTGTGTAATGGACGTGATTCTAGCAGATCTTAATTTGTTATAAACAACATGTTACCGCATTTTATTTTCACAAATCTTATAGTAAAGAGATTACTATAATAAACTCATTCGTTTCTGATAAATAACTCAATGAAACTAATAACCAAACTCTTAAGAACAAATAGAGTTTTGGAGGTCTAAGTGCAACTTTGGGAAGGTATGAACAGATTCTGTCAAATGCCTGTTCCTGTGAATTCTTGATGGGCAGTGAAAATATCAAATGAATAAGGAACTGTTTTGATATGTATTGGTAGAATAAAAGGAATGTGTGGTATGAGAACACTGCCCAAGTTCAAGCTATTACATGTTCTTGATGCGTAATTTATCCTAATTGATTTGCATCGTCTTGCAGACCATTCTTTTGCTGTTTCCTACTTACCGCCTTGACCACTACACATTGGAGAGCTCTAAGATTCTGTCTTCGGAATCTGTCCCTTTTTCCCCTATACTTACTCCCTTGGCAGTGGTCCATTTTCTTGGCATCAAACAGTGTACTGTATGTTGATGACTCCTAGATGCTTGTCCGCAGTCCAGAGCTCTCTGAACTCCAGGTGTGTATCTCTGCCTATTCCATACCTCCGCTTGGATGTCTCCTAGTTGTCTCAAACCTATGTCCACATCCAGACTTTTGATCTTCCTCCTCGGACTACTCCTTCAAGAGGGTCCCCATCTCAGTAAATGGCAACTGCATCCCTGCAGTGGTTCAGGTTAAAAATCTTGCAGTTCTTGACGCATCTCTTTCTCTTATGCGCTACATCTAATATATCAGCTTTTCCAGGTATATCTGGGATCTTACCCTGTCTCACCACCCTGGCCCAGGCCACCATCATTTTGGGCCCTGATTATCTTAATAGCCTCCTAATTGGTATCCTTCCACCTGGCCCCCTCCCCACCAGTCTAGTCTCCCCATAGTGCAACTGACATATTTCACATTAGGTCACATCTCTGGCTCTACACTTCCCAACGGCTTCCCATATCAGAGTAAGAAACAAGAGCTTTAGAATGGCCTATGCAGCCCTGCATCACCTGTCCCTCCGCCCACCATCTCTCTGGTCTCAACTCCCTGCACGGTCTGCTCACTCACTGTTCCAGCCACACTGGTCCCCCTGCTCTTTCTGGACCACATCGGGCATGCTCCTGTATCGGGACCTCTGCACCTGCTCCCCGGAATTCTCTTCCCTCACACGAGTCTGCATGGCTCCCTCCCTCCCTTCAATCAGAGTTATTTCTTGTTTTTTTTTTTAAATCCCAAAGTCACCTTCTCAAAGAGACCTTATCTGATGTCCTTAGTTAAAATCAAAACTCCCCACCCCCATGACATTTCCTGTCTCTATTTACTGACTTATTTTTCTCTATAGTATTTATCACCATTTAATAGACAACAGAGTTTATTTATTTACTTACCTACTTATTTAAGTGTCTTCCTCCCACTGGAATGTAAGCCCCATAAGAGCAGGAACCTTTGTTTCCTCCTCCCCTTGCCCCAACTGCAGTATCCTGATTGCCTAAAACAGTGCCTGCTACCTAGTTAGGCACACGCTACATTTTCTTTTTAATGGAAGAATGAATTCTAGTTTGTAGTGAGACCAATTGGAAAATCTGGATGTGCATTAGAAAAATAAGGGCAGACTGATTCCAGGAGGTAATTTAAGCTCAGTGCCAGCGATGCAAAAGCCATCTTTGAGTTGTATTTTCATCTGTCTTCTCTACAGTTTGTTCTGTAAATAACTCTCTTAATAGAGTAAGTGTGGCAAACATTGAATGACTTGAGACATCATGGCAGTAGCTTTTGTTCAGTGTGTCTAACTCTTGTCCCAGACCCGTCATGCAGTGCTTGGTGGTATTTTGTATTTCCTACATTGTGTTCTTCCACGTTAGGTGTAACTTACTTACTATTCTAATCCCATGAGTCTACATGAGTCTTTCCACCTCTTGTTTCACTTGCAATTCTCTTTCATCATTGCTCTTGATCTTTTCCCTTGAAGTTTCTTTTTTTTTGAGAGAGAGAATCTCATTCCGTCGCCTGGGCTAGAGTGCTGTGGCGTCAGCCTAGCTCACAGCAACCTCAAACTCCTGGGTTCAAGGGATCCCCCTGCCTCAGCATCCCAAGTAGCTGGGACTACAGACATGCGCCGTGATGCCCAGCTAATTTTTCTATTTTCAGTAGAGATGGGGTCTCGCTCTTGCTCAGGCTGGTCCCGAACTCCTGAGCTCAAGCGATCCTCCCACGTCGGCCTCCCAGAGTGCTAGGATTACAGGCGAGAGCCACCACGCCCGGCCATTATGTAAGTTTTTAAAACAGCTAAAATACTTATTCTATTCTTTAGTTGAGTAAATGCTCAGAAATGTGTCTAGTGTTTAGAATCATTTTAATGCTCTTTAGTAAGTTCAAAATAGATGACTGGTGAGGGTTCTAGGATGTCTAAACATAATTTCAAAAGGACAGAGTAAATAAACCCTAAGAAACCCATTTGGTTCTTCTAAATAGTCCTTACTCACTCTCGTCATTGTAAACACATATAAATGAACAAAGTGGTTTTTATGGACTGTTTGGATGTGTATGTATTCATTGACTCATTGCATCGCTGTACTTCAGCCGTGGGGAAATACACACAAACATTTTGAGTCTGTAAAGTGCATAAGTCTGTAAATATTTTTTACTTACAGCCCCATTGTCTGTTACATCAGACTCTGTATTCACTATGCATCCTTCTACCATGAAGAATCTGGCCTTTGTACTCAGACCAGAATTTGAATACTAGTTTTACTACTTATGGGCTGAGTCCCTTTTTCCACCACTCACCTTTTAAACAGGGGGTTGATGAATCTATCTCTCAAGGTTATGAGAATCACATGCCTGGCGCTGTGTCTCGGTGCTTAATAAATGCTTTGTTATTATTGTAAGATAGCTTAGTATAATGTCTAATACGGAAACTTTCAAACATGCACATAAGTAAAGAGAATAGCTTATTGGATCTCAAAGCACCCAGCTTCAGCTATTATCCGCTGTTTCATTTCTATGCCACCCACTCCCTTCTCCCAGATTATTTTGAAATAAATCACAGATATAATGTCTTTATCAATCCATAAATATTATAATACGTATCTCTAAGAGTAAGCACTCTTTTAAAAAAATAGCCACAGTATCATTATCAAAGCTAATAATTCCTAAATATTATCAAACATCTAGTTAGTATTCAAATGTCTCCATTTGCCACATAGGCTTTTTTTTTTTTAATAGTTTGTTTAAATCAGTATCCAATTAAGGTCCATTCCCTTTAATATGTTATTGGAAATATAATCAAGGTGTGGGATGAGATTTTGCTGTAAGGATGTTCATTGCAGCATTGTTTAGAATTGGAGGAAAAGTAATCAAAGAAGGGTAGGGGATTGGTTCCCCCAAAAGGTGTGTGACCTGACAATAGGACATTGGACAGCAATTTTAAATGATACTGTAAAAAGATTACGTGATGAACAGAAAAAGCATTGCTAAGTGAAACAAGCAGGTCATAAAACAGTATTTATACTTTTATACCATTTTTGTTAATAAACTATGTGCCTATATTCTATGCCTATTTCTGAATGGTGGGAAAATGAGAGATTTTAATTCTCTCTTAAATTTAAAATGAAATTTCTCATCTTTCTGCAATGATCATGTACTACTTGTGTAATAAAAAGTTATTAAAAATAAGAATGCCGCAGAAGTGCACCCTGGCAGTTGTTTGTTTGGTTTCACACGGAGTTAGTTTTACTTGGCACTCTGCGCGTTGTTCTTACCACGTGTTTTCCCTCGTGATCTGTAGAGAAGTCCTCCGGGGCAAGAAGAGGCAGAAGCTCTGGAAGGGTTGTGCCTTCACCTGGGGCTAGCGCAGCTCCACAAAGGGGCATTCAGATGGCCATTGTTCACAGCTGGGGCCTCATGACCTCATGCAGTCTCCGCATGCCACCCTGAGAAGGTGGGAGGCAGAGATGGGCTGGGACTGGTCTTCCTTTGACATAAGGGGAAACCGAGTCATAGAGAACCTGCCTTTTTCCTCATGTTGGTCCTAGGGACAGGGTTTTAGTCCAGATGTCTGTTGCTGGCCATAACCACAAGGTCATGGTTCCGCATCTTCTCTGGGTTTCAGAGGTGTGTGGGGGCAGGTCCCGGTCCTGTTTGGCCGAGGGAGCGCTTAATCCTGCCTCGGTACAACACACCACGCCGCGTTCTGTGGCGCAGGATCTGACCAGACTCGCTCCGGTTCTCACACCCATGTAAGGCGGGATTGGCTTCTGCTTGTCTTGCATTCTGTGAACTCTTAGCTTTCTGCAGTGTCACTTCCTCTGACCTTCGCTGCCGATGCCCGCAGCCCCGAGTCCCTCTCAGTGAGGGTCCCTTAGGCTCCGCTCACCCCTTCTTCTGCTCTCTGAATGAAGCCTCACCCTGGGCCTGCGTTGTGTCCGCTGCCCTCGTCAAGCCCTCCCCACCCCCCCACACCCCTGCTTCCATGGCCTCTGTGCTGGCTCTTCCTTCTCTGAGTCCCTGCCCGTGCCCTGCAGTCTAGCTGTGTCCTCCTTGTGGTCCGATTGTGCCATCTGAAAGCCACCTTTTCTCCCTTGGAAGACTGTGGGCTCCCTGCAGGCAATCACGACGGGAATGATAACATCTCCGACAGGTGACTAGTACTTCTTAGGTGCCAGGCCCAGAGGTGGGTGATTTGCCTAATGATCTCATTTCGTGATGCCAATAGACCTGTATGATCCCATTTGACAGATGAAGAGACTGAGGTGGAGTCGCTCGTACGAGGTTTCCCAGCTGCAAAGTGATAGAGCAGGAATTCTCACCGCATCTGCCTGGCTGCAAGCTCACCGATTTCACTCCTGCATAGACCCTTTGTCACTGTCGTTGCTTGACTCAAACATCCTTGGGTGTTCTTTATGACGGCCTCCATGGGGTCCTTGTTTCTTGGTGTCTGCTGCCCACGCGAGAGCAAATATTACGATCTCTGGCCAAGGTGCCCGGGGCTGGCTTCCTTCGAGCCCAGAGGTTGGCTGGGATGAGAATACTCAAAGCTCTCTGTGTTCTCCCACCCCAGCTTTCTTGCCTTGGTGCACCTCTCTCTACAACCTGTCTCTCCTGCGCCTTTTCCTGGAGACACCGAAGCAGCCAGAGGCTTCTTGTTGGACAAGCTGGGTCCCGGCGCTGCGGGTCTGACAGCTCTTGGCAGAGTCGGTAAGAAAATGGAGCCATGGACCAGCAGAGGATCCAGACCCAAGACAGGGCCCCCCTGGCTCCCACACCCCATCTGGACCCTTCGAAGTCCTCCACGGCCCCCCTCCTCTTCCCCCAATCAGAATCCTTGTTTAGGGGCTCAAGCCCTCGGCTAAGCTCCACCCCTCTCCCAGCACCCTAAAGTTTGGGGGCTGCATTCGAGTCAAAGATTTCCAAATAGGGGATGTGTTGGAGGGACTTCTGAGGGCAGCTTGTCCTGGAAGGATTGGGGACAGGCTGCAGCCACTGCTGTCTCCAAGGATGTCTGCGTAGCTCCCTGGGAGACCCTGTGCCCTGTCCCCTCCCAGCCCGGAGAGCAGGGACGGAGCTCGCTTGTTATCACCTGACGCTGCGCAGCCACTGATCCCATTGGTGGAGCCAGATTCGGTCTGGCGCTCTGTTCTCTCGCCTTCTCTGCCTCTCTCTCTCCTCCACGCTGCTTTGATTTCGCTCCTGCCTCTCTTCGTGCGCTGGGCTGGGAACATCGTCTCACCGGGGGCAGCAGCAGCGGCGCCTGCGGAGCCAGACAGGAGCTGCCTGCAGGGCATGGACGCAGCCTCCCCAGCAGCCGGGAGAGGAGCGAGCGCGCGCCGCTGCCTGTGACCCAGGCGTCTGGCCGCTGTCCCCCTGCCTGGGGAGCTTGTCCACATAGAGGTCTCTCCCTTCCCTCCCTGCCAGGTCTTCCTCTGCAGAGCCCGGTGGAGCCAGGTGAGTGCCCTTCCTCCCCCAAGCATTCTGCTGTCCGTCCTGAGGGGCTGCGAGCTGGGGGCACCGGGGTCCTGCCACTGCCCTGGTGCCCACCTGGATTTCCAGGCCCGACGACCTTGTCCCCTTTCCTGGGGGCCCTTGGCAAAGGGGTTAACAGCTGGATCCAGTCTCTGGGGCACCACAGTTAGTCACCCCGTGACCATTCTGCTGCAGTCAGTGATGCCAACAGGGATGGCGGGCGGGGGGGAGCTTTCCCTCTGGCACACGGTGGCTTTTCTGAACGGGCACGGGGAAGGGGTGTCAGTGTGTACGGCTGTGTGCACGCTCTGGAGGAGACCAGAGGCTCGCTGGGCAGATGGTCTGTGTGCATGCAGTGTGCTCATGTGTGGGTTTTGACTGGCGCGAGGCATGTCTAGGAACATATCTTTCTTGCGCACATGAGGTACGTGTGGGGGGGGGCACTTATCTGAGTAGCCTGTGGCATGCGTGGGTGGGGACACTCTGAGGCAGTACATATAGGGGGGTGGACATGTCACTTGTCGTGCGTGTGGATTACATGTTGGGGGGGTGCATGCAACCCGGGGGCTTCTAGGCGGGGGGTGCAACTCCAGAGCAGGGTGGGGTGGGCAGTGGCAAGCTTGGGCAGAAACTCTCGTCTGTGGGCAGACCTGCGTAGGTGCGCAGACCTGTTGGCATGAACCATCAGGGCTGGCAGAGTGTGGCCAGGGGCAAAGTCTGTGTCTTTGAGCCCGGAGAAGACTCAGGAGAGAGAATACCAGAATTCGGGCGGGGGCTGACGTGTGTGCGAATGCACATGTGTGTGCAGGCAGGCGTGTGGGTTGCGTGCCTTCTTGTGGAGGTGGCACGCACGCATGTTGGTGCCTGTGGCTTCCTCTTTTCCCCAAATATGGCTTGTGAGAAGGTGTGCGTGAGCCTGTGGACACGAACACGTCTGGTGTGTCTGGAGGCGACAGCTGTGGAGGGAAAATTGTGGGGCATTCTTAGAGCGTGGAAGGTGGCGAGAGGTGCCTGAGTGCGCGGGGGGGCGGTGTCTGGGGGTGAGGATGTCTGCGGAGGTGTGGGGTGCGTGTGGGTGGGCACGCTCGGCACACGTGTGTGCGTGCGTGCCTGCCTGCCTGTGTGTGGGTGTGTACATGCTTGTCTCGGGGTGGATCCACTTGGGAGTGTGGGTGTTTCTGGGGTGTTGCCTCGACCTGTCCCTCACACCCTGCCCTTCCCCAGGCATCAGGGAGTAGAGAACCGGGGTTCACGCCCGCCCTAGGTCCACCCTGGCCTTCTCAGTGGCACTCCCTGCCGCCCTCCCAAGCTCGGGTGGGGGTGTCATCTCAGCTTTCCCAGAACTGCGGGGAGGAAGGGATGAATATCCACGCAGGTCCTGGAGACCCCAACCACCAAACACAGCTGCCCCGAATTCTGGGAATACTCTGAGGAGAGGAGGTATCGAGGCAGGAATAGGAGCCTACTCAGGGCGGGTGTGGGCTGCGTCACTTGTGGGCAGCGGGGTGTCTGTGATCATGTGCGTGGGAGGGGCACACATGTGTCTCCCTGGGAGCCCGGGAGGTGGTAACACCCCACTGCTCCACCCCTGTCCCCGAGAATTACAAACTGGTTTATTATCGTAGGGTTGCTTCTAGACACCCAATCCCATCTGTTTTATTTCGGGGTGGGCCTGGCAGCACCCCCATGCTTAATTTGCCATAGGATTCCCTGTGCACGAAGCCACCGGCATTCGGCTCTGGGGTGGGAGACTAAGATGAAACAGGACTTGAGTGACACCCTTCAGCAAGCGAGGGCCAGCACCCTGAGCCTTCAACCTGTACCTGCCACCCAGGCAGCCCACAGGTTAATTTGGAGGTGCCAGGCTCTGGAGCAGACTTAATTGACGGGAGAGTGTGGGCTGGATCTTCTGGAAGCTATAAATAAAAGTACCTGCTTTTGCACGCGCCCCTAGCTCCTAGGCAAGGGGAGGAGAAAAAGAGGGAAGAGAGGAGAGAAGGAGATGACACTTGGGAAAACTCCAGTGTGCCGGGAGCTGGGCTTGAGGAAGGGAGGGGAAGCATGAGACCAAATGCCCCTGCAGAAAGCCCCACCCTCATCTGCCTCCTCCCAGATGCTGTCTCCCCTCCTGCACCCCTTCTCCATCCCGGAGCTCAGGGGAGCCAGGCCAAAGTCAAGGCCAGAGTCAGCCCTTCCTAGAGGAAGCACAATGGAGCGTGATGTTGGTGTGGTCCTTTCATACCTGGAAGAGCACCAGACAGAAAGGGAGAACCAGAGGAGCAGGACAGGGAGGGGAGGGAAGATGCAATTGCTTGAAAGGAAAGAGGCAATAGAAAGAGACAGATAGTGAAAACATGCCACGCGTGTGCCACCCCCGCCCCCGCACACACATGAGGGGACGTGACCTTGGCTTAATGGTAAAGAGCTCTGGAGTTCATATGGTTTGCTACTGCGTGGCCTTGGGCAGGTTAGTACCCCCTCACCTCAGTTGCCTCATCTGTAAAATGGGAATAATAATAGCACGTCCCCACTTTGAGGCCTGCAGGAGACGTTTGTGAGGCTATTAGCACGTGCTCGGCCCCCAGTAGATGTCGGTGTTAAAACTAATTATTGAAAGGACCGACAACAGGATCAGCCATGGGGAGCACGGTGATTGCCAAAAACATTCCGGGTGGAAAAAGAGCTTGGAGTGGGCTGTGGCCGGTGCTCGCACTCCCACCGTGCATGGGTCCGTGTGCACCTACGTGGCACTTGTCCTCCAGCCCTGGCGGTGCTGGCCCTTGCTGAGCCACCCCCAGAGAGGAGAGGGGCCCGAGTTCTAGGGCCCTGGCACCTGTGGTCTTGGCTGCCACTGCCGTCACCTGCCCAAGCCTTGCACCGTGGGTCCTCGGCAGGTGCTTCCTGCCTGTCCTCCGCCCTCCCCCGTCTCTCCACCCCCAACCCCTTCTCTTTTCACGCCTGCTGGCTGAGGGCCCCCGCCCTCCTCGGCTCCATCTGCTGCAAATCTGTCCCCGCCCAGCGTTTGCCGTGTTCCCACTGCCTCTGCCACCTGTCAGGTGCCGTCTGCTCTGCAGACCCCTCCGAGGGGAGCAGAGAGCACCCCCCAGGGCACCCGTCCCACCTTTGGTCCTCCCCCTCTGGCCTTCCCCATGCAGTCTTTTCCATCAGCTCTATGAGCAGGTACAATCCTCAGGTCCTCACAGGGGATATGGGAGGAGGACATTCCAGAAAGTTCTGTGGGGGTGAGGGTGGAGCTAAATCTTCCCCTCCCCGTCAGTCCCCACAGGAGCCAAACCAGAGGGAGCATGGAGCTGCTGTCCACCCCCCACAGCATCGAGATCAACAACATCACCTGCGACTCCTTCCGCATCTCCTGGGCCATGGAGGACAGTGACCTGGAGAGGGTCACCCATTACTTCATCGACCTCAACAAGAAGGAGAACAAGAACTCCAACAAGTTCAAGCACCGGGTGAGTAGAAGGATTCCTGGGCACCTCTCCCCAGCGCCTGTTCTTGAAGGAGGCAGGACAGCGGCACGCCTGGAAGTGGTAGTGCGGAGGCAGAGGCCTGGTTAACATCCAGGCTCTTCTTGCTGTGTTATCTTGGGAAAATTACTTGACCTCTCTGAGCCTGCGTTCCTTCCCTGGTGGAAAGGGAATGATAATGCCAACCTCACAGGGTCGTTAAGAGGATCCGATGAGTAATGTTTGCGTGGTCCTTGGCATGGGGCCTAGCACAGAGGGAGTGCTGCTATCAGCGCCACGACTGGGACTTCAGACAGGGGCAGAGAGCCCGGGCGGGGTGGGGCCGCAGGCATCACACATGGGGGTGACGTCTCAGGTCCTGCCAAAGCCCCACTTGGGGAGCAGCCTTGTTGTTGGCTGGGTGCGCAGCTCGGGCTTCGGGCAGGGGTGGGGCCCCTTTGCGGGATACTCAGTGCGTCCCTCGCCCGCTGGCCTGCTGTCGGCTTGGTTTGGAGAAGGAACGTGAGAGAGTCCTGTGCGGGTGTGTCCTCTCCTGGGGTGAAAAGCCGGGGTGGGGGTGGGTGGGAGGAGGCCTCCCATCCTTGCGGGCTGGCAGAGGCAGGGGAGAGTGAGGCGGGCAGGAGCTGGCGCCCAGGACAACAGCACCGGTGCGGGTTACTCGCCCTCTCTCTCTGGAACTGGCTCTCCCAATCTGGGTGTCTTTTGGCAGGCCAGTTGCCACGGTGACGTGAATGTTCAACACCACCCCCTTAACCCTCCCCCCCAAAGAATAAGGCATATTTTTCCTTCCTCCCTGGCTTCTCAGCATTTGCCGTTGCCGTGGAGACGGCACTGCAGTGTGCAGAGCTCTCGAAGTCTCCCTCAAAAACGGAGGCCTTGCCGCCCTCAACTTCGGGGGCCTTCTCCCCTGGGGCCTTTTCCTTCAGTTCCCAGGAGAACGGGGCGTCAGCGGGGCTTAAGGAGGCGAGAGGCTGGGACGGTCTGTGTGGCCTTCCCGGTGGCCACTGCTTGCTTCTGCAGGAAAATGGTGGCTGGGACATGGAGCCATCGGATCCCTGAGACTCTGGCCCTGCTCAGGAGGAACGTCTGGGGAGGGGGGATTCTAGTGGATGCCAAGCTTGGGCCTGCCCTCCAGTTTGACTCCTGGCTGTCCGTCTCTACCCCATTTCTCAGGATGTCCCCACCAAGCTTGTGGCCAAGGCGGTGCCACTGCCCATGACGGTGAGAGGCCACTGGTTCCTGAGCCCCCGCACAGAGTACAGCGTGGCCGTGCAGACAGCCGTGAAGCAGAGCGACGGCGAGTACCTGGTGTCCGGCTGGAGCGAGACGGTCGAGTTCTGCACTGGGGGTGAGCCCTGCTGTCACGTCTCTGTCCCGCGGCTTTGGCACGCCTGGCTTAGTTGCGGTCAAGACAGGGGCTTCATCTTAATCCAGCACTCACGACCCCCTGCTATTCACCGGGCAGTAAGCTCAGGCCACGGGGGTGGGGGTGGCGGGGACCCACGTGGACAGGACCTTTTCTCTTCTCACATCAGAGGCAGATGTGAGCACTGCTATGCTAACCGTGCGGGCAAGACCACTTCCCTAAAGGAATGAAGTTACTTTCCTGGCTTGGTGCAAGCATCTTGTTTAAGATCGTGGTAAAATATGCATAACATGAAATTTACCATCTTGACCCTTTTTAAATGTACAGTTCAGTAGTGTTACGTAGATTCACATTTGTTGTGCAACCAATCTCCAGAACTCTTCCATCTTGGAAAACTGAAACTCTAACCCACTAAACAACCACTTCCCATTTCCTCTGACAACCTGCCTTCTACTTTCTGTCTCCATGGGTTTGACTCCTCTAGGAACCACACATCAGCGGAATCATACAGTATTTGTCCTTTTGAGACTGGCTTGTTTCACGTAGCACGGTGTCCTCGTGGATCGGCCACGTTGTAGCATGTGGCAGAATTCCCTTCCTTTTCCAGGCTGGATAGTATTCCATTGCACGCACAGACCACGTTGTGCTTATCACATTTTGCTTGTTCTGAGCCTCCACCGAGCCTGGGAAAATGGTCCCTCTTCAATGGCCCTGCAAGCTCTCTTAGTAGAACGTAACTTGCAGACTCCAGCACGAACGAACAAACACACACCAGGCTTATGTGTGCTTGGTCACTGATGACCCAGGATCTGCCCCTCGAGATTCCATTCTTCTGGTGTCCACGGGGAGAACTGCTCCAGATCTCTCTGTCACAAGGAAGGGGCAGGGAACATTCTTAGCCCCAGGCCTCCGAGGCTGCTGGTTTCATCCTCTGCCAAGGTCTATGCCCCAAATCTCCTTGAGCTGCTGTTTTTTGCATGATGCTTTTTTTCCTGGTTCTGCTACAAAACCCCACTCTCGGGGGGGCATTCCTGCTCCTTGGGGGGAAAGCTTCTTGGTTCCCCCCAAGACCTCCACATGTCGTGGGCATTTAATTCAAACTGGGGAGCTGGGGACAGCTGCCGTCCAGTCCACATTCCTCTTGCCAATCCAAGCGCTCTGGCCAGGGCTGCATGAGCAAGGGCGGAAGGGCACCTTTTTCTAATTTGTACCAAGGTCCTGTACAGCTAGCAGCAGCCCTGCCTGGGCCCCAGGGGTTCAGTTTTATTATCCTGTGTCCAGCCTTCTACCCTGTTTCTCCCGAGATGCCCAAGCAGAGGGCCATTGCCCCAGGCCCAGTTCCCTTAGATCCTTCGACCACCCACCTGTAATTACAACCGGCTTCCAGGTGGGGGTGTGGGCAGCCTCCTATCTGCTGGATTTGAGGGGCTCTCCCAAAAGGACCTCACATTCTGCCCTCTCGAGTCCTTCTTTTGCCAGCTTGTCCTCTTCGCACACGAGGGTAGCCTGGGATGACAGTCCCTGGAGCGGGAGTGATGACTGGGCAGCCTCCTGCGCTTCCCTGACCTGGAGAGCCCTGAGCAATGAGGGTGCGGAGGTGCCGAGGACAGGCAGCACGCCGCTCTCCCTGTTCCCAGCAGAGGCTAGCTAGCCTGTTCCCGTTTGAGTCCAAGGTTCCACGACTTGTCTCCCCTGCCACTCCGGCCTCAGACAGAGGTTGGCCCGACATGCACGGTGGGGTGCGAGTGGGGGGACAGGAGGCGGTTGTGACCACTCAGCTGGCCCTCGGCTCACCTGACCCCACCCGGGCTCTTGCAGACTATGCCAAGGAGCACCTGGCCCAGCTGCAGGAGAAGGCCGAGCAGATCGCAGGCCGCATGCTTCGCTTCTCCGTCTTCTACCGCAACCACCACAAGGAGTACTTCCAGCACGCCAGGTACGGCGCGGCCCAGCCGCCCACCAGGCCTCTCCTCCCTGCCCCAGCCCCTCCTGCTCCTGCCCTGGCTGTCTGAGGTCAGCCCATCCTGGCGGTTAGCAGGCCCTCCGCTGGGCTCCCTGTGCCCTCATGTCACTGGGCTGGCTCTAAAGTGACGTCTACTTTGGAATTAGGCTTAGGGGAGCTCAGGGCTCTGGGGACGGGGACCTTCTGGCACGGCACTGCGCTAACAAGCCAGGGCGAGTGAGACTCAGGGTTTGATCCTCCTCTGGGACAGTTCCTTTCATGGGATCCTGCCACCACAGGTCAGCTGTCTCTCCAGTGCAGGCCCTGGGCCCGAAGGGCAGGTGGCAAGGAGAGCAGGATATGAGAGAGCTCTGAGCACTAACAGCTCTAGGCAGCTTCCAGCTTGGTGGCTCCAAACTGGGTGCCGAGGAGGCTGGGCTCCAGGGGGGCACCTCGGGGAGCCCCTCAGAATGCTGCTGAGGGCTGCGGGATCAGAGGATAGGGCTTGGCGGGCCCCAGCCCTATCATCTGGCCACAGCAGCCTCAGTGGTATTGGCCTGTGCCTGCCTATGTATAATTTTCCTGGGGGAAAAAGGAGAGGGGTTCTGCGGTTCATAAACGTTTGAAATTTGGTGATCCGATCTAACACCCCCAGCATACAAATGAGAAACTTGAGGCCCAGAGAGAAAGCAGGTTGTCCAGTCAAGCCAGTGAGTGACTTGTCACTCAGGACAGCCAGGACCAGGCAAGAGTGAGGCAGCACCAGGGGGTGTCCACCCTCCCCCACGCCTGCTGACACTGTTCCAAGTCCGTGTCTTTCTGAAGCTGAGCCAGGGCGAGCCGCTGCTCTGTCTTTATCCTCATGGTCAGCTAGGGTGGGGCATTTCGACCCTACCCCAGGGCAGTGAGGACCTCGGGGGTCTTTGGTGTTTGTATTAAAGAAGAGACGCAGTGGCCCAGTTTGGGCTCCGTCACTAGTGAGAAAGAGGGAGGCGGGGAGCGCCCATGTGTGCCAGGTGCCTTGCTTGGTGCCAGGACATAAAGACAAAGACACAGTCTACCCTTCTGAGAACCTCCGAGTCGGGTCAGGGAGACAGTGTGGAAAGATTTAATGCAATGAGTGTGCGTAATTGTTGAGCAAAACTCAGCATCCTGCACATGGTAGGCGGCCAAATAGTTGTCACATGCAAGTGCCTGCTGTTCCCTGGAGGTTTTAGAGAGTAGCGGACACTAGTGCTGGGACGTGAAGGACGATTAGGAGTTTGCCAAGCCAGGCGGGGAAGGGTGGACAGGCAGTCGGTCCAGGCAGAGGGAAGGGCACAGAGGAGGGAGAGCATGGAGGTGGGCGGGGGTGTGGGCAGGGGGGAGGTAGGAGGGGGCAGTGACAAGGAAGCTGGAAAGACCAGACCATGAGGGGCCTTGCTTTTCATGCCAGCCCATCAAAGGGTTTCAAGCTGCGGAGTGACAGGTTCAGATCCTTCTCTGCAAAGGAGTGGGCTTGATGAGCTCCCCGGGGCCCTCCCTGCTCTTGTATTCTGGAATGCTCTACTTGCACTAGTGGAGGTGGCTGGGGGAGGGCTGGGAGCTGGGCTGGCCCTCTCCCTTCTGGACCCCGTGCAGTCGCTAAGCCTGAGCCCGGCTAACCTGCGGCATCTTCTCTCCCCGGGCTGGCAGGACCCACTGTGGGAACATGCTCCAGCCCTACCTGAAGGACAACAGCGGCAGCCACGGCTCCCCCACGAGCGGCATGCTCCACGGGGTCTTCTTCAGCTGCAACACGGAGTTCAACACGGGCCAGCCCCCCCAGGACTCCCCCTACGGCCGCTGGCGCTTCCAGATCCCCGCCCAGCGCCTCTTCAACCCCAGCACCAATCTCTACTTCGCGGACTTCTACTGCATGTACACCGCCTACCACTACGCCATCCTGGTGCTGGCGCCCAAGGGCTCCCTGGGGGACCGCTTCTGCCGCGACCGCCTGCCCCTCCTGGACATTGCCTGCAACAAGTTCCTGACCTGCAGCGTGGAGGACGGGGAGCTGGTCTTCCGCCACGCCCAGGACCTCATCCTGGAGATCATCTACACCGAGCCTGTTGACCTGTCCCTGGGCACCCTGGGGGAGATCAGCGGGCACCAGCTCATGAGCCTGTCCACTGCTGACGCCAAGAAGGACCCCAGCTGCAAGACCTGCAACATCAGCGTGGGCCGCTAGGGACTCCCAGGGAGCTGGGGGGTGAGGGAGAGATGACGGGAAGATGGAGGGGCGTGGCCCAGGTTCGGGGAGCTGGCTTTCTCTCCCCTGCACCCCTGCTCCCTCCGCTTGGCCCGGCTACCCTCCCCCCGCCCCTTGGCACTAGAGGCGACAGATGGTGGTCCTCTTGGTAAGTGTGGCCCACCCCAGGCCTGGTGGACTTGGAAAGGCTGCTTAGCCTCAGTAGGTTGGTGGGTGGGTTGGATCCCTGGAGAACCTCCCCTTCCCTTTGGTCTCCCCGTCCTGCTGTTTTTTGTGTCCCCCAGGCCCTGTCTCCCAGAGGCCTGCCCCCTCTTGGGCTCTCCCAGGGAGCCTCACTGGGCTGGAGCCCCCGTGCAGCGTGGCTGCCTCCAGAGGACACGCGGAGAGCTGTGGGGCCCCCTTCCTCAGCCCCAGCCACCCCACTCAGGGCCGACCACAGAATGCCCCTCCTCACCAAGCTGGGCCTCGGGGCTTCCCACCGCAGCCCGGACCCCTGCTCCTATAAATAGTCTCCTGCACCGCCATGACGCCCTGGCTTCTCCTTGCCCCAGAGAACCTTCTTCCTGCATGGGGGAGCTGTCCCTCCCTTTCTCCACCTGCCCGCTGGGGACGCTCCTCCTGCTCTCTAGAAAGGGACCCTCTGTTTTCTTTGGTTTTGGGGGCTTCGGCCTGCTGGGATTTTTCTGTCCTTCTACCTGGAGGTGACACATGCCCCAGCACACCTTCTCTTTGCTCAGAGCGCTGGGGTCTGGGACGGCAGCCTCTGGGGTTGAGGAGGGGGAAGGAGTCCCCTGAGACCCAGAGGCCTCCCTTCCTCAGCTGGGAGTGGGCTACCTCGTGCCCTGACGGGCCTGGCATGGAACCGAGGGCTTTCCCGCAGAGCCCTGGCACCCCGCCTGGCTGTGCGCTTTGCTCGCTCGCTCTGCCACGGGGCGGTGACTGCACTGTGCCTGTGCATGACCTGGACTGCGGATCCTCTGCTCCTCGTCCTCCCGCCCCCACCGCTGGCACCGTCTGCTCTCCTGCCCACCCCACGGGCTGGGAGCCCCTTCCTAGGGGAGTTCTTGGCGAACTCACTCCCGGGCCTCCCTGCATTTTCCTGCAGTTGTGCGGGGCAGGGGTGGCGAGGCTGGACTCCCTGAGCGAGCAGAGCAGGGGGGAGAGCCCAGGGGAGGAGCTGAGGGACACAGTGAGCTGCTTGGGGGATGATGGAGGTGACGTCAGGCGGAGAAGAGAGCAGCGCCTACGGTGACTTCCTCAGAGGTGACAGAGACTACAGACACCCAGCAGGGTTTCTGTGATGAAGGACAGAAGCAGCTGGCGGGCCAATGGGGCCACGCCTCGGTGAGCGGCAGGTGGACAGCTAGTCACCTCCCTGCAGCGGGGAGTGGTGTAGGTGGCTGCCTCCGTGTGGTGGCCCAGGAGGTCTGCAGGCTCTGGGAGATGCGTGGAGAAGGAGAGAACAGGGGCCCCAGGCCCTTCCCCCTGTGCTGACGGCATTGCTGTGGGGGTGGCCCGCTGCCCTCCCCGGCCCCCGCGTCCTCCCCGGGCGGGGGGCACACCCGCCTGTGCTGTGCTTGCGATGTGTGTCAATAAACCACCATGGCCTGAGGGCCCCGCCTGAGCGAGTCCCTTCGGGCTGCCATAACGCACACGACAGGCGTCTGTCTCTCACAGCTCTGGACACGACCAAGACCAAGGCGCTGGCGGATTCGGTGTTGGCAAGGCCTGGCTTCCCGGGTCACAGTGGGCCGTCTGTTCCCTGTGTCCTCCCACGGTAGAAGGGGCGAACACGCGTCCTCGGGCTCCCTTTATAAGAGCACTAATCCCATCCACGTGGGCTCCACCTCCCTGACCCCACACCTTCCACAGGCCCCACCTCCTAACTCCAGCATTTTGGGGACTTAGGATTTCAACCTATGAATTTGGGGGAGACACACACTCAGATCACAGCGCTGCCTCTCTTTGGGCCCTGGGGGGAGGGTGAGTTGCACAATCCACAGAGGAGCTCAAATGGGGATGCCCCCGGCACGGGCCACCTAGAATCGTTCCCAGGGAACACCCATGTCTCACTGTGGGAACCCAGCCTCAGGGTGCAAAGTCACATCTCCGGCGTGGAAGGGACTTTTGTTCCACCCAGTGCTTCTCCTGTGGGGAAACTGAGGCTCCTAGAGGAGGACCTGCAGCAATCTGGAGCCCTTCCCGCTGTAGCAGCTTGTCACTGCTGGGACCCAGATGCCATGGAATTTCCCTCTCCCAAGAGCCCGCGCGTGCCCTCCCCCAGCAGGGCTGCTGCGTGCAGAGCTGAGCCAGCTCTGTGTCTGCTGTTACGGATGCACCGTCATGGTCCTCTCTGGAGGAGGAAAGCTCCAGAAAGTCAGAGGCACCTCACCAACACCGCCTGACTCCAGGCCACATTAACCGTGTCATGCAGAGCTTGGTCACAGCTCTGGGGGAGGGGAAGCAAAGCTGAGGGCGGACGAGCGCTTCCTGCTACGCGCCAGGCACCTACCTCGGGCTGGTGGCAGCTCCTGTGGCCTTCACAATGGCTCTGGGCAGAATTATTCCCACTTAATAGATGAAGACACTGAGGCACAAGGAAGGCCACTCACGTCTTACAGCCAGTAGGCGACTGTGCCCAGGATTCGATTCGGAAACTGGAATCGTCCCATCTCCCCTAGTGTGTACCAGGGGCCACCTGGGGCAGTAAGACCAGGGCGGTGGGTCTTCCTGCCCGGACTTCCTCCAGGTTACTTCCGGCTACCCAAGGCCCTGCCTAGTTCCAGAATAACGCCAGGGGGGGCTGTGGAGTCACAAATGCCAGGGAGGCTTGATTTAAAGGAGTAGTGGGCAGCGCTTGGAAGATGGGGAGTGACTCGGGGTCCACCCTCCTGCCTCTGCAGGCCTGCAAAGGCCTCCCCCACTCCCAGCTGAGACGTTTCCTGAGTCCTCCAGAGGGACAAGCTGCAGTCTTCCTTTTGTGAACCCTTCTGGGTTTCTTGGGGGCAGAGATTGGCTCCCAGAGCCCTTGTAGTGGGGGACAAAGGCAGTGAATGGAGGTGGGGTGTGGGAGGGGCCCCATGTGGATCCCTCCAGAGAGCCGGCAGCGGCTTCTTCTTGCTCTGTCCAGATGGCCAGTCCCTGGCACGCGGCCAGCCCGGGCTGCTCCAAGCACCGGTCAGACGGAGCTGGGTCAGGGTGTCCGCCAATGTCCACTCTGGGGTCCTTTCTGGCCTGGGGTCTAATCTGACCTGGTGGAGGGAGGGAGTCCACATGAGTGCGCACGCGCATGCGCGCACACACACACACACACACACACACACACACACACCCTCCCTGCACTGGATTTGGAGGACAGCCTAGGAGGCCACAGAGAGCTCCAAGGTGGGGGACAACCCTGAACCGTAGCTGAGCGTCCCTGAGTTGGCTCTGTCTGTAGTCCAGGCGGAGAGGGAAGATGAGGCAGTGGCCGCAAAGGTTCCGGGTGGGTGTTCTGCTGTGCAGGCGCACACACACACCCACAAACATGTGGTGGCACACACTTGCACCCCACGCCCAACTTGCACATGCTCCTCTGCCCGGGCACCCACCCGCACCTCCCTGCCCAGCCCATTCGTCCTGCGCCAGCATCTTTCCTTTGAATCCTGGGCAGATGAGAACCCCCTGCCCTCCACAACGTGGTGGAGGAGAGGAGCCAGCTCTGAGGACCCTCGTGGTTTCCCCAGCTGTGTTATGTTCTCCGTGTTAGGAAAAGAGGTAACTGGGGTCCCAAGGAAAGGGACTGGGAGGGACCATTCCCCGAAATGGAGGGAGGCCTTCAGGAAGCTGAGCTGAGGTGATTGGCCATAAAACAGCTTGGCCACAGCATCTGGAGGAGATTGGAACCAGATGTTTGCGGGGTGGGGGAGGGGAGTGGGGGAAGGGCAGGGGCCGGGGCAGGAGGCTGGGTTTTGGGGGGAGTGGGCTCCGGGTTCCCTGGGGAAAACATCTGGCTGCCTTCTCCCCAACTCTCCAAGTCAGGCACTACTATTTTTGCAAACTGGAGCAGCAAATCTTTTCACAGATTTTAGAATCAGCCTTGTGCGCAGGGATAGTCAAGTACAGGGTGTGACTTGAGAGGTGCCCAGGAAGGTGACCAGCTCGCCAGAAATTACGTCCCCCACTGCCCCGCAAGCCCCTCCTTGCTGTGGGTAAGCATGGCCCCCTCTGGGCAGGCGCAGCTCTGCACTAAGCTCCTAATGCCTGAGTGGGAACTAATGTGCCCAGAAGTTTCCTTTTAGCGCAGGAGTAGAGAAATGCAGGAACGAGAGCGTTGCCTGGGAGAGGAGGGGGCTGCAGGCCCACTTACGAAGAGCCCTCTACGGGCTCTCTTCAAAGGTTATCTCATTCCTTCTCCACAACCACGTAAGGGGTTATTCTCATCCCAGGTTTCTAGATGAAGACACCGAGGTTCAGAGAGGTGAAGTGACTTGTTTAGGGCCACACAGCCACCACCACGTGGTAGAGCTAGTGTTCAAAATGGGCTTTGTCAGCCTCAGGCTTGGGACCCTTTTATTACCTAGAAGGCTGTGGGGTGGGGCAGGGGCAGGGGCAGAGCCAGGCACCCGACTTTACCGATTTTACAGTCTCGCCAGCGGTGGGCCCTGGAAGCCACGCGCCTCTGCAGAGGGTCCCAGTTGCTTCAGCATCCCGGCCCCCTGGGCTCCGGCTGCTTTGACATTGGGTTTTCAAGTCTGCCCCTGGCCACAGCAGGAAGGGTGCTGGGGACAGGGGAGAGGTTTGGGGAGGGGGCAGCTGGCCGCGGTCACAGAGCCAAGCATGGCAGAGCCACGTCTCCTTCCTGCCAGGCTCGTGGCACCCTCTTGGCCCGGTCAGGCAGCTTCATCCTGGCTCTCCCAATGCTCTTCAGGTGCTCAGGACCCAGGGGGCCCAGGGGACCTCGGGGACTTGGGCACAGTTGGAGGAGGCAGAGGCCATCCTCTGACATGGGATCACCTGAGCAGATGGGCAGCTGCACTGGAGTCGCCCGTCTAGAACCCTGAGCGGCCAGAAGGGGAGGACGGGCTGGGCCCAGAGCACACAGCGGCTTCCTGGGCTCTCAAATACGTCCTGTTGGCCCCCACCACCCTGGGAGGCAGACCCCTGCTCCTTCCCTACCCACCATCCTGTCTTCCTCGGGCCCTCTCTGGCCCCTGTCCTCAAAATCTTCCTCCTCC